TTGAAAAGCTCTCATAATCTAGAAGCCAATACAAATTAGGCCATATTTTCTTCCTTAAATATAGGAAAACTAACACATAAACTTCATTGGAAAATTTAATGCCAAAATACTATAAAATTGAAATTTTATTAAGTGCAACCAGACTGATTAAATAGAGTACCAACATTATACGGAAACTCCCTACTCTGCACCAAGTCAGCTAGGGTGGCATCCCCTTCAAACCGCCATATAAGCCAGTATTCAGCAGATTTCTTTGAAGAGCTCTGCAAACATTATGTGAGAACTTTTGTATTTGTCGTGACTGAAACTAAAATGCTAAATGATGTGATGAGAATGTCTTTGGTTTCTCCATACACGTACAGTAATGATACCCAAAATTCATTAGGTAGTATTAGTTTTAATAGAGAAACACCTCAAGAAAACCATAAACAAAATCTGCACAGCTGCTTGCACAAGCTCTTCGAACACGCTCGTTCATCCAAATTTCTACAGCACCATATTCAGTTGCCTTCTTCAAGACTAAGTCACCTTCCTTCCAGTAAGAACCAAAAGAACCATAAGTCATATTTATATAATTCAAGCTATATAACACTGAAATCTCAGAAGCACATATGCCATGTCAACATGTGGGTTCCTCATCTTGTTTCCTCAAACCATGACACTCAAAGCAATCACAAGTTAAAACAATAGAGACACACAAAATTTATAAACAAAACAACACTAACACAGACACAGACATGACATAGACAAGGGCACTCCAATATGACTGATGTTTATATTATAGGACACCATATGACAAAAGAAATTAAATATCAACAGGACAAAAGAGTGGTTAGATTATGAACTTCGCAAAAAAGAAATACTAAGAGTGGTTAGATTTTGATACTTTGAATTATATTATATCCCAATTGGACTTTTATCGATGTTTAAAAAAATGTATTTGTTTTTTATATTACAAGTGTCTTTAAATTGTTTGGCCTATACTGTTAGTGTCAGAGACATGTCACACCACCAAGACACCTCAAGCGGGAGAAGTGTCTGTCTGTGCTTCATTATTGAAAAGTAATGGTAATCTTGAAATTAACTTGTGTGCAAGTGCATGTGAAGTAGTTCATGAAATATGCAAGCAAGAATCAGTTAGTAGAAAAGAACAAGAGTAAATTTTAAAAAATTGCAGGATATAAAGCAACACCTTTGAAGAGGGTTTGTTGGCCAGTGACACTCGATAAACCACTCCAAATGATCCCTCCCCCAACTTCTTCCCCAGAACAAAATCATCCTGCCATCGTAAAACAGTCTCAGCAACAACTACTAATATCATTGAATCAACACCACCAGAAACAAAATTTCATAAAAATTTCAAAAATTCAACTTGAATTCACATACCTTCCTGTAAGAGGGTCGGAACAACCTCTCAACAAAAGCAAGAACAAACATGTCAAAAAAGCCAGGTGCCACACCAGGTGTGGCCCAAAGGTAAGATAGAGTCCCCAACGCCAGAATCACCCCCGGGATTGTAAGTGTCAAACCATTGGACTTGGGAAGAGTGCTCCTATAGATTACATCCCCACACTGCATCACACTGCACGGAAGTCCAACCCCAACACCCACAAAAAGGTTGTGAACTGTGTCAACCCATTCACCCCCTAGTGCAAAAACTTGAACCACTCTTTGGTTTGAGACACTGAATCTAGCACTGCATTGAGTATCCCCAGAGGGTCTAATCCGAAGCCTCTGACCAAGAAACAAGGACTTGTGCTTTGGTTTGTGATGTTGGAGCTTTATCACTCCTACTCCAATTCCTATAGTTGCTACAGAGGCCATGCCAGTTCAGTTTGGCTTTGCTCTCTGGGAAAAATCTTGAGAACTTCACCTACAATCTCCTTCCATTTTACACCACGCCTTTTTTTAATATCTTAATTTAATTTCATTATAATAATAAATATGATTTATATTTTTATGTTAGCGGTTATGTCAGGTATTTTTATTGTGGCTGCAATGACTTTGGAAGTTTGGAAATTGGATTGAGGATTAATATAGGCCACAAATAACACGTAGATACTAATGGGCTTTGGGTTGGGCCTACGAGATTTGCTTAGCTCGTACTCAAAGGCCTTTCGTTCAACTATATAATTAATAGCAGCAAAAGATAGTGCAGATATAAAAAATTTTAAGCTATGCGATTAGGTTATTTTTCTGAATTATATGTTGCCTTATGTATACAGTTGAATCCCCAGCAGCCATAGCTATTTGTTCAATTTTGTCAATTCTTTGAATTTTTTTCTCCGTGAATTTAGATTTATTCTCATTAGGATTAATTACTTGATTTTTCTTAAATGTCTCTGGTTAACTTTTCTAACATATATGTGTCTTAATAGTTTGATACTCTTAGACGATTTTTTTAGCTTCTGTCTGTTTCCAGCGATGGAAACATCAAATGTGCGGAAATTCAATTCATAAAACTTTAAAAACCATCTCTCTAATGCGAAAAAAGTTTAAAAAATCAAATATACGTTATATATAATCAAATATTATAATAATAAATTATGTTCAGAAAACCTTTAATTAATATATTTTTTATATTATTAATAATAAATAAAATTATCTTATTTTTTTCTATTTTTTTATCTAAGACGAGAAATTTACACTGTTATATTTACGTTCATGATAATATAATATATATAAATTATTATTAATCTTATTTATATTATTAATAATAAATAAAATTATCTTATTTTTTCTATTTTTTTATCTAAGTGGAGAAAGTTCCACTATTATATTTATGTGTATGATAATATTAAGATAATATATATAAATTATTATTAATCTTAAAAATACTGATAAAATTAAAAAAATAATTTTTTTTGTTGGATTCCTTAAAATTTCCTCTTCGCTCCAAACAGCTTTTAGAGAGTTTTTTTAAATGATAAACCAATAATGTATTCACCTTTAGGATTTGATGTGGGAATGAAAAATAAAATTCCGTACTCATTAATATCCACAAGTAGAACACGAATACTAACTAAATATATTAAATTGATACCAGCTGAAAACAGATACATATGTTTAATTACCACTTATTAATGGAATGAACATGGATATCATGATATTTAATATGTGAATACACTGCTATTTTTTTTAATTAAGTTATTAAAATAATTTTATTAATAAGAAAAATATTAATTATTGAAAATTTATTTAGAATTAAAATTTATATTTTTTTATCTAAATTTATAAAGTTATAATGATTTTAAAAAAACAATAATATTAAAATGTATTGATCTAAAGGAAAACTTAACTATCGTACAAACTTTAAATGATATGATAACATAATAAAATTCATGTAAATAACCTCCACCTCCCTTGACAACTACTTTCTCAAAAATAGCTAAAGAATTCAAATGTGGACTCTATTCCTATCACGCTATAATACTTTAATATCTTAAAAATTTACCTTATATTATTAATTAAAAATCACTTGTCAAGACATTACAAATAAGTCTTAATAATTTTTTTTAGCATAAGTTAAGCTTAAAAAGGTTGGTGAAAAAAATAATACTCCAATTTTGATTAAAAAGACAACTCAACACAATTCTTATTTCTCTTTTTTATTTTTTCCATTAACGTGATTTAAATGGTTCATTCGCCTACTCAATTTGTTCGTCCCAACTTTTGTCATACATCAAAATGTTATTTCTAAGAATATGACAATTTTTTGGGTCACGAGACAATCAACATTGTTTCAGCCTGTGAATCCATTGAATATTATGGACTTCAGACAATTTTTGTAGATAAATTCTGTTAATGCATGAGTCCGAAAAAAAAAAAATTTCTTGAGAGGAAAAAAAAGTTAATCTTTTTAAATAAAAATTATTTTATGTATATGTAAATATTAAATGACATTTTTTAATATAAAATAGGTTAGGTTGCAAGTTTACCTAATTCATCAATGGACGAACAATTCTTTTTTTTTTAATATTTATATATAAATATAATTAAAAATTTCTATTTTTATTAGAACTTTAAAATATATATATATATATATATTATAATTTAAATTATAAATATTAGTTAATTAAATTTAAATTATTATTTATAATTAAATATTTTAATATATAAATATAATAACAAAATTTATTATCTAATAAAAATATTAATCCATTAATAAAAACTAAAAAATTATTCATCTAATTAACATATTAATATATATATATATATATATATTTAATTTTTTTTTACAAACTCACCTATTAACCGATCATCATGTTTCTTCACGAAACATTAGAATTTATAATTGATGTTATGATGGATTAATGTCCCCTTTTTAGGATATTAGATGTGGAACAACAAAAACAAACAGACTCTTATCATCTTTATTTCTTTCTAATTATTTTTTAAAAGAACAAATTAAAAAAAAAAACACAGTTTTTTTTTATAAATTAAAATAACTTTATATGCCACAACAGTGATTCTAATCTTCAAATAAAACGTTAAATTTCCTTGACTTTTGAAAATCCAAAAATATATATATTGAAACCTCACAATTGTAAATTGTCCCTTCAATCATACCACCCAGCACTTCATTCTTTTATTTATCGGAAAAAAAAAAAAAAAATCAAAGAACGCTACAACTAAGGCGAAGAATCCTCTGTCCAAGGGTAAGAATACAGAATCGGTGAAGAGTGCACACAATGCGCATATCCTACCAACTAAATGCTGTGTAGACTGTATCTTTCACCTACGAATACTGTACACAATACACGCATCCAATCATCTTCATCCAAATCCAGGGTACGACACCGTATTATACAGCATCGTGTCGTATCCTATCATATCACCCTAACAACAGCGTCATCACCCTTCATCCACATAGACAAAATACATACATTCGCGTGTCCTCATCTGTCATTTCACTTCGTTGGCTTCGTTCAAGATCAATGAGCCACAATCGTGTGAGGCTGTCCCCACGGTAAAACCATGCAACTTCCACAAAACCCTAACTACGAATCGGAGAACAACGACGGAGAGTGGCGAACGAGATCGTACGGCGCCCAAAGACTATCCAACGGACAAGGCTTCTTCGAATCGATTCGCAACCACGGTTTCCCCTTGCCGCTCCAGTGGAGGAGGCTCACCGGACCGGGATGCAGGTCGCGGCAGAGACCTTCGAGATTGTCGCCCCCGAGGCCGTGCTGGTTCCACCGGTTCTCCACGCGCTCCACGTCGCCGGCGAACACGAGTAGAAATGGCGGCAACGACCCGAGCTCGTAGATCCGGTTCCGCTTCTGGATACGCATCCACGTTTCGAGCTTTTCCGTGTATCTTCCCTCTCGCCACTTCCAGAGATCGATCACCATCACGCCCGTGTTGAAGTAGCACGCATCGCGTCCCTCAAGCGACGCCGCGTAGCTAGGGTTCGACCAGAAGCGGTGCGTGAAGTAGTTGGTGAAGTTTGCGTGGCAGTACTCGGGCGCGCCTAGCACGCGCGAGTGGAGGTCGATACTCCAGAGCTTCGCCACGTCATCGACGACGATGAGGTCGGAGTCAAAGTAGATGATTCGCCGGACGGTCGCCGGGAGCAAGTCAGCGAGATACATCCGTGCGTAGTTCAGTGGCTGGTCCAGCGCGCGTCGGATTGAGTACGAGATCTTGCCGCGCACGAGGTTCGCGTCGAAGTGGTAGAGGTGGAAGGCTAGGTACGGGAACGTCGCGGTTATGATGCGCCGTAGCTCCGGGCGGCGGTGCGTGGTGGCGATGAAGTGGAACACGACGTTCTCCGGACACGACGCGTGTTGCAGCACGGAGAACACGCCGGCGACGGATCCGCGGAGGTACGTCGCGTCAAGCGTCATTGCGATGTGGATGACGGAGTCTCCGTGCGCACGGTTGCGGCATTCTCTTCCGTTGCGGAATGCCGGTGCTTCGCGGAATGTCGGAAAATGGCCGGCGATTCCATTCGCCGATGAATGCGCTTCGACAGCTACGAGAAGCACCACTAACATCAATCCATAGTAGTGTGTGAGTGAGAGTGTCGGTGGCATGGCGACGAAACAGAGGAATCGAAACCAGAGACTAAAAGAGAAGAGTATTTTTTGTGAAGGTGCAGGGGTATTTTGGGAAACTCTGCGGTGATTTTGCTGGTACTTGGGTTGTGGGCCCCGGATACGACAACATGTTAGGAAACCAGGCTGTAAAGACGTGTCGCTGGCTTTTATAACTTGGAAATGTGTGCTTTGTTGTTTTGTTGTGTAATGATGTGTTCTTTGCACCGTTGGATCTATCTCGTGATGAGAACTTGACGGCTAGGATTTAACTAAAACAGAGTACGTGCGTCAAAGTGCGTGTTGTGAGTTTGTCTGCACTTGTCAATAGCGGCTTACGTGGCTTGGATGCAAGTAGGAGTTGAGAAAATTAAATGTAATAAATAAATTGTATTTTTTAAAAATTAAAATTAGTAATAACTGTTATTTAGAATGTGCTTACGCACCAAGGAACTTTCATCATTGGAATTTTTCTATTTTGACCCGGATTGCATGACACGCAGGCAATTACGGTGTGACGTGGATTATGTTGGAAGATTCTTTTCATGCTACTTTATGTTAACACGTGGCTATTTACGTTTTTGCCCAAGATAACCACTTTCTTAGTTCTTATGAATCAGAAGTTGTGAAGAATGATCTCGTAGAGCAAGTCCATCCAAAATAATAGATTTGAATAAAAAACTTGGCATCTAGAAGCAAAGGGAAGGGTGTGAACAATATTAACGAGGTAATCAAGGAATACAAAGTTTTTAAGAAACTTTCAAAGTTATACAAAAAAAAAATCATGATTGTATCTGACTTTTTCCGTGATTTTTTTTTTTAAATGTATTTTCACTTTTTAGTGGGTATATGTCAATGTCTGGAATTTCATTTAACATCATTCAATTTAGGTTATCAAATATTGAAAACACCAATTAATGTTTTTATGTATAAAAAATTGCATACAATGATGTCAATTTACATATACATTGTCAATTTACAGTTCACATCGCAAAAAAAAATAAAAATACAGAAGTTTATTATGTACACGTAATATAACGTTTTCATCTGAACAACTAACAAGATAATTAACGAATTTCAGTCAAAAGAGAATTAACCGATATATACTTATTGTATGAAAACTGTTTTTTTTTATTGTACTAAAAATAAAATTACAAAATATTTATTATAAAAAAATATATTTCACCTTTTTATTATTGTATACATATTGTCGCGTAAATAATATTGTCCAAATCACAATTTCCAGTTTAACAATTAAACACACCTATAACAAGTTTTCATAACAAAATTAATATCTGACATATACTTATTATACAAAGATTGATATTGTTTCTTCTTATCGTACTAAAAATGAAATTACATCATAGTTGATGTATTAAAAAGTATATTTTACTAATTTTGTTTTGAATAGTGAATTATATTTTAGAATTAATACCTTCTGTAATATAAGAACGGATATACCTTTTACCACAAAATCACAACTAAGGTAAGTTTAAGTTTGACAAATAAAATTCACCATACACTATGATTATCTTATACATAAATTATGTGATTTATAATATATTTTAAAAAATATTATGAAGAAGTTAATTTATGGAAAATTATGTATTAAATTTTTTACTTTTTTTTTCTTTCAAAAATAAGTATAAAGAAGTTGGTTCAAACATATCTTATAATATAATTAAGTATTATATTTCAACTTGAATTTAATAAGTTGTATAAAGGAAAGTCTTTTTTTTTTTTTGGTCAACTTTGTGTTAGACTTTGAATTTTAAGTGGGCCTTTCGTCTTACTATATGCTCAAGTTAAGCAGGCTTTAAATTTTTATGAGTAAAGATCCAATCTCAAAGTTTCAGAACAAAAATATAAAATATTAACAGCACTTATCCAAAGATTTTGATCAAAATTAGTACCTTTTAAGCTAAGAAATTGTTTTGGCCCTTGCGATGGTACATTTTATTAAAAATTTCCAGAGTATATTGATAAACTAGCGTAAGAAAGAAGTGCGAGGTTATGATGATTAGAGACTCATTATCATACTGATTAGAGGACAAAATTTTCTTTAGTTAATTAATTGAAGCTTTTGTAGTACTCAACATGAGAGAAGAGAATCTTCACGTGAACATCAACTTGGAATGTTACACATCGAGTTCTTGACTTCATGCAATATTAAAATATTCACTCACTATTTCACCATCTCAAAACTCAAAGCAGCAAGTATATTTTCGTTCCATCTTCTATCTAAAAATATCATTAATTTAGTTAAGTAATATGATATAAGAGGGTTAAATTATAATTTAATTAACTCATCTGTAAAATATGTTTTTATTAATAATATTTTTAAAAATTTAATATACTTAATTTAATTTTACAAAATTAAATTACTAAAATGAACATGAACTTATTTCTTTACACTTAATGATTCAATAACATATTATTTATTCCAATATCTGATAACAGATAATTTCTCAATATTACTAGAATTTATTATGATAACATAGGATACTTATACTTTTATATATACATATATATATATATATATATATATATATATATATATATATTCATATAGAATTTTAACAAATAATAAAAATTCATAAAATATTATCTCATACATCTAAAACAAAATGCCCAGTGAAAATAAATATAAAATTGTATCGTTAAGAAATAAATCTATAAAAAAAAGCTAATAGTATATATATATATATATATATATATATATATATATATATATATATATATATATATATATAAAAGTATTAGGGAAAAGTCTTTTATAATTTGTATACTTTTTTAAATTTGTCTTTGATTTTTATAGTTTTCGTTGACAAATTTTATTTTTAACTTTTTTAAAAAATAATGTAATATTAGTTATTTTTATATTTAATACTACAAAATTTTACATATTAGTTATGACACATTTCGTACCTATTTTATAACTAATCTCTCGCTTATACGTTTTGCTACAGAATAATTATGGAATAGTTATTGAATAATCCGTCGCCAAATTCAAGTAGCTAATTAGATAGAGATATATTTTTTCTCAAATTTGTAGCAAATTTAGTTGTCAATCTGTCGTTAAGTCCTTTGCTAATTTAAGTGATGAAATTTTGTCTTTTCTTAGTTAATTGAGCTTCCAAATTTTTAGCTAACTTGTAACTAATCTTTCTCAGTTGTTTTGTCGCTAATCCGTAACTAATCCCTTACAATTTTACTCTCGTTAATTCGTAATTAATCCCTCGCAATTTTTCTATCGTCAATCTGTAGCTAATCCGTGACAATTTATCTCTAACTTATTTGTAGTTAATTCCTCGCACTAATTCTCTCTAGCTTATCTGTGGTTAATTTCTCATAATATTTCCCTCGTTAACTCGTAGTTAATCCTTCACAATATTTCTCTTGTTAATCCGTAGTTAATCCCTCACAATTTTTTGCCGCTCATATGTATCAAAATTCGTCTCTCAATAATTTATAATTAATCACACGCAAATTTTTCTCTCACTAATCTCTCGCAATTTTATTTGCAAGTAATTTGTTAATTATTATTATTATTAACGTAGAGTGGCGGATCTTGACCATTTATCTTGGGGGGACCAAATAATATATTATTAATAAATAATAAATAAATATAAAAGGAAAAAAGAAGATGAAAGAGTGAAAAGATAAAATTGTAGATATATACTTAAATATATTAAATGATCATTAAGTTTAAGGGAAACAAAATCATAAATTATATGAGTTACAAAACTGAGGAGAAGCTGAGAGGATAAAATTGTAAATATACAAGTAAATATATTAAATATTCATTATGTTTGGGAGGCCAAAATCATAAATTACATAGGAGTTATAAAACTTTGAGGGGCCACGACCCCCTGGCTCCTAAGAAGATCCGCCATTGGCGTAGTAGGTATTCCTGCTAAAGTATCATTATAACATTATAATATCAAATGTTTAACATTTAAATTATTAATCATATTCTTGAAAAAAAGAAGACAAACTTATCAATTTTTAATATAAAAATATTGTTTAAATATGATCAAAATAATGTTTTAAACAATCAAAACATAACAAAAATAATATTTTAACTAAAAAGTTTTGTATCAATTAAAAAGTTTTATATCAACACAATTAAAAATAGAAACAAAGTTTTGATTTTTTAAAGTATATTCTTATTGCATTTGGGTCCTCTTGCACTTCTTCTACTTTTGAATTTAATCTAACATAAGCAGCATCCATAACCATATCAACATATGGACTTTTATTATCCTCATTATGTTCTTGAAAGACAGAAGTTGATACATCATCGATCCATTTTCCTCATCATGAAGGATCCAATTTGTCATCTTATCTTGTCATTTGTTTAAAGGGTGACCCAAATGACAAGATCCAAATGTTCTTGGATATCTTCTTCACATTCACACGGTATTGATGAGATGGAAGAACAGTATTGGGACTCAAACCTACTGAAGACTTGTCATCAAGATCCAGCTCCAACTCTTGTCCCATTGATCCAAAGACCTGCAAAATACCATTGAGAAAAAAAAATATATTAGTTTGTAGAAATGCAACACACTCAAACATAACCAATTCCACTTGACAAAGTTGAGATATTGATGCATGGAACCTATAATCTAACAAAATTTTATTATGATGTCTACAATTACCTGAACCAATAATCATTTTATTAAAGGGACAAGTCTTGAGCTATTGTGTTGTCTTGTGACTGTGAATTGGTTTGGTATCCACAAAAAAGGCACAAGTGGGTTGTAGAAACAAAAGATAAGTCAGTTCAATCACCACAAACTAGCACACAGTAGCATCAAAAAGATCAGTAAGCATGACAAATGGTATCAAAAAGCTTGGTTAGAAACAATAGCGAGTAATTTTTTATTAAATTCGAGTTGATAAATTGATTAAATATAATTTTAATTATTCTTTATATCTAATTTTTTTATTTAGGAATTTTATTTATTATTATAAAATAATAAAATTGATAAATTAGAGATTTATAATTTAATAATGATTTAGTAAAGTAATTATTATATTCATTTATATATGTTATGGTATATGTAATTTATGTATAATTTCATCACACCTCCTCATCTTAGTCATTGTTTATTTTTTTCAACACCGCACTCATCTTTAAGGATATTTTTCATATCAGATTATATTCATATGTTATTTTAATTTAAGTATTAATTTATTAAATTTTAAAATACAAGGACAAATTGATAAATGTTATAAAACCTTATTTTGTTTATTTATTAAACCCTTTTTCTTATATCAATGTCATGCATTCTTTTTTCAATTTATGCTAAAAATCAGTTTATTTTTATAATAGCATTTATAATTTTAAAGATAAATAACTATTCAAAATTTGTGAAATTTTTACAAAATTGGAAGTTGAAAGTGAAAGAAAATATTTAAAGAGAAAGATTTTGCCTAACGAAAAGATCATTTGTTTAGTAAGAAGCATGTATATGAAAATATCCTCACATGTTAATTTTATTAAATAAAATAGATACCCAATAGAAGTAGGAAAAAGATATTTTGACATCTCTTCTTATAAACCTATCAATGACAATCTTAAAATAATAATATATTTGGTTGATTGATGGAGAAAGAAGGAAGGAAAATAGATAAATAATAATATAAAAATAAAAAAATGAATCGTTAAATGATTATTTTTTTTTTTTACAATGTCAAAATATCAACACTCATGGAAATATACTTTATGATCGACTTTTAAAGAGTAACCATATTTTGTTACCATAAAAATATTTATATAACTTTATTTATTAATATTATATTCGTAAAGTGGTTGATTTAAAATAAAATTAATTAAAATTATTAATTTTATTAATAAATAAAGTTGTTGAATAGATATTTGTTAACGTTGAGTTCTCAATCTATCTTTTTCCGCTTTTAAATAGGAGAAATTTTTTAAAAAAATGTACTTTTTCTATACATTGAAACTAGAAAAAGGACCAATGCTCATGATTAGGAGACACTCTAGAGCATCTCAAACTTTAAATTTCTCATTCTATACTTATTTGGAGTATTGTAGTATAGAAGAGTAACTAATATTCATTTCATTAAATTGAATGTGTAATAAACCTTCATTGCTTATAACTTGTTTAATTCAATATTAATCTTTGTACATGTTTGAAACATTTTCTCTTAATGTTTATTGCTACATGTTTTGATCATATATTTATATTGAGAAATGATTTTTGAAGCTATGGTCATGACGAGAAACAACTATGAGTTTTCATATTAGTTCTGATCTGCATATTTTGAGTTATTTCGATACAATTAAAAAAGAAGCACAACTGTCGTAAAATAAACTAAGAGATTAATTACTTTTTACTAATAATTTAGATCTATTTTTGTAAGAAATTGAGATAAATATTATATAATGAAAAAATACAATTAAAAAATAAACTTATACTAAATTAATTTATAACTTAGAAGTTTGCACATTTAATATAAGTTAAAGTTAAACTACAAAATTATATTTAGACACGTTAATTTTTTTCTTAAATTAACACAAAGTTGAACTATAAAATTATTTTCGTGATTAGTCTAACTAGTAAATGTATATCTTATTTAAACACGTGTAAATATCTTAGAAAACTGTGTTTAAGTTTTTCATTTTACTACTAATAAGATTTAATACGCTTGCCAATTAGTTAAAAAAAACTATTTTTACCAAAATATAAGAATTGATAAATATATTTAATCCTCCATATTATTATGCCACATACTTAGAATCTGAATTTTTATAATATATTTTAATTATATAATAATGTATTTATATTAGCCATAAATACAATAACCATGTTATATTTTATGAAATTTTAAATATGTTTGCTATATTAATTTATTTTGTTTTAAACGTTTAAATGAAAAAACTTTTTAATTACATATACCAATTTTAATATGTACATTACACATTTATCTTCCAAATAATAATAATGGCTAAATAAAAGTGACTGTGTAAGAAAATTACACATCACCATACAAAATTCATGGCGAAATTCAAAATTCAGACATCATCAATCTATTTATATATATAGTCATACTTTATACAATTAAAAATATACTTTCATTAAGCAAAGTTTTATATATTTAAAAATATGATTAACTAAATTATATATGTATGTGAATGCTTAAAATAAATAAAAAAATTAATTAAAACAAGTAGTTTCTAAGACATGTTATTATAATTTTTTAAGAAAAAATATTATAATTAAATATTATTTTATGTTTATTAACTTTATTAGTCTCATTTATATAATTTATATATTTATAATCTTAAGTTATCCTTAAATTACATTTTGTATCTATAAATAAAATATTTTATTTAGAAGATATAAGGAATATAAATATCTAATATTATTTTATTCTTTTTATATATATATATCTTGGGATTTTATTTCATGTGATTCATTTGACATAATTAATATATATTAGTAAGAAATCAGGTATATGAAATTATTATAAAATTAAGATATCTCAATTAATTATGTTATGAGTGAAATAATGTGGAAGCAAAATAGAATCAATATTGATGATAATTTTCTTCCTATAATATAATACTAAATATTATCAATAATATTAAGGATTAGAAATCAAAATTCTTAAAGATTATAGACAAATAAATTATTTAACAAAATGGAATGATGAAATCAAAGAAAATTAGGATATCTTTATAAGTGAAAGAATTTTGGATTTACAGTGCATATGTTTGAAAGTGATAAATCAATTAGATAAAGGTAACTTTTTTGAAAAAGATAAATGAAAATGATGAAACTGTAAAATATAAAACACATTTGATTATTTAAGAATTTTTTACCATTCTCAATATTGATTTTTGAACCATATGTAATTGATGCAATATTTTTTTGACATTCAATTATTCTATCTGCACATAAATGTTTCATCTTGCATCTAATTAATAGATGTTATAGCTTATTTATATGATTGAAAATGACATTTATATAAAACTTTTCATAACATTGAATTTATCAAATGATCCAAATTACAAAAAAATTATTTAATCGAGTTGATTAAGTTCATTAATGGATTTAAGAAATCAAAATACTTGTAGTATAATTGTCTAAGTATTTTTTTTAAAGAAGGGAATAAAAATAATCTCATTTTATAATTATTTGAAAACGATTTATTATATTTGTTTATATTTTATCTTCTTTAATATCTTATAAAGGGAGTTTATTATTTTATAAAAACAAAGATAATCTGACACGAAGAATCTTGAAAAGATAAAGTTTTGTTTGTGTTAAGTATTTAATATTTAAATAAGGATACTTTTTATAATATTTATTGTTTTCTTCTTAAATTCTCTCTTACATAATGGTTTTGAACATAAATGAATAAGTTAATGTAGAGTATTTACATAATGTAGGTACTTTAAAGGTTATATGTGAATATTTATATCTATTATAAACTTGAATGATTGAAAGGTCTTTAGATATAATTAAATATTCCTTTAGTTCTTGAAGTACCATAAAGAATACTAATATATCTTCTTAACTAGATTAAACTTGATTTGACATTTGTTGTAAATTTATTAGTAAGATATAATTTTTCATCTATAAAAATACATTTGATTAACATAAAATATGTTTTTCATTATCTTGAGGGATAAATTTGTTTTGTTTAAATGTTTTAAAATCATATATAATGATTCATAGAAATACAAGTTATTTGCATACAATGCATGTTACTTATTAGATTCTCATAATCGTCAATCACAAAGAAGAAATTTGTTCATAAGTGATAATATTTTAATTTTATGACAATATGTGAAATATAGTGTAACGTCCCTACGAATCTTACATATGTAAGATACAAATACATTAAGTTATTTACATAACATGTTTAAGTATTTTAAAAGAAGCACTATCACATTATATAAGTTATCTATCACACTACATAAACTAGGGTAAGTTAGTGATAAAAAAATTTATTCATATGATTATCACAAAATATTCTCAATATTCACATTTGAATTAATAAATCAAGCACCACAATTAAAATAAATCTCAACATGTAATATACATCTCATGTTATCATATATAAAACATTTACAATCATAAACACTTGACCCTACTTCTAGAAGACTCTCATGCGTTGAGTTTAGAATAAGAGATTTGTACCTATCACACTACATTCTCTAAGTGTATATTTTTAACATAGGTACATAATTGGAACACGTTCTCTCATATGAGACTTACCAAATACAATTCTTTTTCACATCACAAGTTAAGTCATAAAAATATCTTTCAACTCTCACCACCTAATACTTTTCTCTACACGAGTCTAATATCAGTAGAGTTAAGATATCTCCTTCAGAATCCCAAATTCAATACATTATCTACGTTTGGACATAGTATTTCCTACTTGAAAACTACTATGTTAACTTTTATCAATTCATCATATAAATAACATGCATATAAGGGTATCAAATGATATTTCTCACATTATAACAATGTATTTACTATACATATATTAGTACTTAACACACATTATTTCATGTTCAATACATGTATTCTATTATCTTAAGTCATGTATATACCTTTTCTCACATTTCAACAATGAATAAATTTGTGGGATTTGACCTATGTTTATTATTTTGGTCATAATTTTTTCTACAAATATCCTTTTTGATAATTCTTGTTTATTTGATTCCTTATTATCATTACTTTGATTTGCATATATGGAATGTTAAATTTAGAGTTTTGAGCTATTTTTTATGATTTTTAGAAGTTTAGGAAGAAAATTTATGAGTAGTTTTGTTTAAGCGAAAATACACTCGAGAATGACATTATTTTTTGCTTGAGTGAAAATATACCTGAGACAAGCCTCATCCACTGGGAGTTTTTTCATTTGACCAAAAATGCATACGAGAGGAATCATTTCCTCTTCTGCACATTTTGCTTAAGGGATCAGTTATCATTTGAGCGAAATATACAGATAATACACTTGCTAAATTTGTGCTAAACCACACTTCAGATATCAAACACTATCCTGTGAGACTCTATTACTCAATTTCCTTTCAAAATATATCATATTTAGTCTAATTATAACTCTCATATCCTAACATTTTATACACATCATTACTCTAAGTTAATTTATTCAATTATAATTTAAGATACAAAATAACAAATCAATTTCTTGCAAATCAAACAATGTGACCAAATTACCTTTGCAGTCTAGATCTTCTAACCTAGAGTGCTATAAAAATCCAAGAACAATTAATTTCTCTTACCTTTCAATTTTAGTGTTCTCATGTTTGAAAGGTCCAAATCTTTAATTTCTTAGGGAGTCAAATCCTACTTACAGAAACCATAATTAACAAATCAAACCTACTATAATGTTCTTAAACTAGCTAAGATCCCACTAAGATCACATGCAAGACTCGAAGACTCACATGTAAAACCTTAGCCTCAAATTTATAAAAATACACTAAAATTGGAGAAAGAAAAACTTACTCTATTTAAGATTTTGATTAGATAGAAATGTCCCCCTCATCGCTAGAAAGTACAATGATATACTTAGATCTAGAAAAAAATAATTGGGTATGGAAGTTTTAAAGAGAAGTCAGAAGAAAGTTTAGAGAGAGGGTGATTCCTTAGAAATGAAGTTTGAAACATAAAAGTTTTCTATTTTAACTATTTTTGTCTATAAATTTTAAACTTTACTTTATTCAATCCCTGTTTCTCTTTAAATTACTAAATCATCGGTCCTTACATACAGTATTAGCAAATCACACAATACAAGAAATTTGTGATCTATTTAAAAAAAAAATTACCATCAATAATGATTATATATAAAGACATGCATTATCCTCTCGTTGAAAGAAATATTTGTTAATAGAAATAAACACAAAATATAATTCTTTTTAAAAAAGTGTGGTCTAGAAGGTTTATTTATAGAAAACTTAGATACATTTTTTTAAATATTTGTGAATGAGAACTTATTGGTTCAAAAGATAAATATTCATTATCTCAATGATAATATGTCTTCATTATTTCATTGATTATTGAATGTTTATTAGTCTTTATTATTATTTATATAATTTATATATTTATAATCCTTAAATTATCATTTATGTTACATTTTGTACCTATAAATAGGGTATTTTATTTAATGAGATATGATTTTTTTTAATTTTATATATATTTTTATCTTATTTTATAATATTTTAATATATTTTACTTATTTTAAAACAACAATTTACCAATATTTGCAAAATAAGAACTTCCTAAATAATTTCACATGAAATCTTTGAAAATTCCTTCCTTAAACATAGTTAGGATAATTTTGTATAAGTTATTACAAGTAAGAGTGTATTTATTTGTAGAAAAGGTGAAAGAGTAAAAAAAAATAAAAAATAATAATAATAAATATTTTTCTTGTTTTCCTTTAAGAAACTTTAAAAAGATATTATTATTTTTTTACTTTAACTCACGTATTTTACTTTCATTTATATATTATAGAAAATTTCAAAATATAAAAAATTATTTACATAATTATTCTTTTTCTGATAAATAGTTTCAATTATATATATATATATATATATATATATATATATATATATTATTTTAGTTATGATATTTTAATACAATATGATAAATATAAAAAAATTGAATAAATCTAATAAATATTTTTATATATTTTTTAATATGATATTATTTATTAATTTAAATTCAAATATTAACAAAAAATTAGTTATTTTATATTTATATATTAAAATATATATTTAAAAAGTGTTAATTTAAATAATTTATCTTACTTCCTTTTCATATAAATAATTTATATTTTATTTTTTGTCTTTATACTTTTTCTTTACTAAGAACGTAAAAGAATAATTATTTTTTATATAAATCATTGTGAAATATTAATATATTGTAGGGACAATATTTTTTAATTGTTAAAATACTTTTATTTTCATTTACTATCATTCTCAATCATTTTAATGATAAAATACATACATATTTTCAATCCTACTGATAATCACATTTAAATACATTGTTTGAGCGTTAAGGATACCATGATTGATTTTTGTGAAATATTAGAGTCATTTAGCATCCAAAAAAATTCATTATTATTAATATTTTTTAATTTCTATTTTTTAATTTATAAGCATATTCCACTTAATATAAATAAGTTTTAATTATTTATTAAGAGTTATATTAATTTTACAAGATTTTACTTTTTATAACATCATCATTTTTTTAATACTCTATTTATTTTTCTTTTTAAAGCTACTCTATTCTTTTCTCTTATAAAAAATTATTAAATCTAACATAAATTAATTAATAGTATAATCGGTAATTTGAGTTCAAATCTTTTATATATATATATATAAACTAATTGAAAAAGTTTTTTATCATTTATAATAATTATATTTAGTTTGAATATAATAATTGTTGGTAAAGATATATCTGGTATAAAAAAATAAAATGACGAGAATAATTCGTAATTATTAATTATTTCAGGCCGCAGCAGGTGTACTGCAACATACCTTACAAATTTATTGAAGTCTGTCTCTATCAATTTCAATTGGTTAAATACTCATGCTTCAGGGATTGCACTCATTCCAAATATTTATCAATTTTAGAAATAAAAATTGCAAATATCTACAATTTTTAGTTTGAAATATTATTTAGTTTATATTTTATTTGTGATTTGTAAATATTTCATAATTTATATGAAGTGAAGAAGATTTAAACATAAATTAAAAGAAAAAAAATCAACGAATATAGAAATCATGACGTTCAAAATGGATTTTTCTTTTTTACTTCGAGTTTTTTTTAACTGGATCAAATACTAACTGTGTTTGCAACGTCTAACTGTTGTTAATTGGATGAATTTTCGCACATTGATTTAAAAAAAAAATCATCATAATAATATATTAGTGCATTTTTAACCCTTGTAGCAATAAAGATATATCAAATAATGGACGAGTTTGTTTGTTTTGCTTTTAATAAAATAAACATATCTAAACTTTTTTATGCATTTATTGAATTTGTGTAATGTAATAACCAATAAAATTTTGTTTTTTAATAAACAATTTTTTATCTATTTTGAAATGAGTGTTATTTTAAAATTTATTTATTAAAAAAAACACTCGTTTTAAAATTAAGTAAACTTGCCTAATATTCATACACTTTTGTTGTAAGAAGAAAGAAGAAGCGTGGAAATAAACCTATATTTTAAAACTAAATGGTTTCATGTAATAAATAAATTTGATTACTTACAATTAAAACTCATCAAAAGAAAAAACTGAGACTCGCCAAAAATTTCATTGCACCGCATATACGCCGAATAGTATTGCAAATCCTGACCCGCCGCTCTACGCTATTTAATAATCACTGCAACGTTGAAATTTGGAAACTTTTTATTTAAATTTTATATTTATTTTAAATGTTAATAAATTATAACTTTATGTTTTATTTTCACTTTTAGTATTATAAAATATGATATTATATGATATAAACCTGTTTTAACATCTAATGTGACATTTATAACTTATTTTAAACACATTTTCTAACAGGATTTCCACAATTATTATATAAAAAACTTGAATTCACTTATGAAAACCCTATAAATATGGAGAGACTATTTAGATCTTGTTAGATAGGGACCATTTCATGGTGGATTGAATATACTATTGAAGAATTAAATGTATAATAAATAAAGTCAGTTGTAAAAAAAAAAAAATGGTTGATAGTTAGTTTATTTCTTAACATCCACTGGTTATGCATGGATGAATCTGAGATTGTTGAAAGGGTGAGTTGGCTTGGTCACATGTGTGGAAACCTCATGATTATGATTATTATTGTTATAAAAAGTTCCATCTATGATATCAACATCAACTTCACCAATATCTCACACCACTCACTCACTCACAGTAATTAACATGCTTAGGATTTCTTAATTACTAAATTTTCTGAGTTCTCGCTTACTCCCATTACCCCTTGTTCTTCTTCAACCACAAACCACAAGCAAACAAGGTAGACAGAGTTGAAGAGGAAGCCGAGCATAAAGCACCCCCAATATCAAAACTCGAAAGTGCCAAAACTTTGCCACCAAATTTATCACTCCCTCTCACACACGTCACATAAAACACCATCTCTCTCTGTACCCATCTTTCCCTTGGAATCTTGATTTTCATTCGATTTAGATGATACTGTTACTATTTCATTATTACCCACTTCACTCTCTTTCCCATTTGGCACCTACTCTCTTTGTGAAACCATCATCACCACCCCCGACTAAAACACAAACCATGTCTATCTTCCTCACTCTCTCACTCTTATGCATCATCTTTACCACCACCATTTCCACCAATCTTCCTCCTTCTTCATTTCCATATGGTAAGCATCTTCACTCGCCAACAAAAACACTCTTAATTATTCATTTGTTTTTATTTAATATATTTAATATTGAAAGGTTTGTCGTACCACATCGACTGCGGAAGTCCGACGAACACTACCGACCCCTTTAACACCACGTGGCTGTCGGACCGCTACTTCAGTGGCGGCGCCACTGGGATCGTGTCGGAGCCGCTGCACTTCCGCCACGCGCATGAGAAGACGCTTCGCTTCTTCCCAATCTCCTCCGGCAAGAAGAACTGCTACACTATCCCCTCCCTTCCTCCCTCGCGCTACCTTCTCCGCACGTTCGTCGTTTACGATAACTACGACGGCAGGTCCCACCCTCCCTCCTTCGACGTCTCCGTCGGCTCTACCGTCGTATTCTCCTGGCGTTCGCCGTGGCCCCAGTCACTAGCCCGCGACGGCGCCTACGCGGACCTCTTCGCCACAGTCCTCTCCTCTGAAGCCCTAATTTGCTTCTACAGCCTCGCCACGGACCCCCCGGTGATCTCCTCCATCGAGATCTTCGCCGCCGATCTGGCTTCCTACGATGCCGCCGCAATTGCCGACAACGGCACGGTGCTTGTCAACTACGGTAGACTCTCATGCGGCTCTGACCAGTGGGGGCCGGGCTTCTCCAACGACTCCGACCGGTTCGGCCGCTCATGGCAGTCCGATTCCGAGTTCCGAACTGGCCGGAGCAAAATCCTCGCCGTGTCGACGCGGAACAGTATCAGCGGGGCCGAGCAGAAGCCGAATTACTTCCCGGCGAAGCTGTACCAGACGGCGGTGATGACGGCAACGACGGCGGAGGAGGGCGGTGGGGTTTTGGAGTACGAATTGAGCGTGGACGCGAAGCTTGATTACTTGGTGTGGCTGCATTTCGCGGAGATTGAAGGGCGGGTGAGGAGGGTGGGGGGGAGGGTGTTTGATGTGTACATCAACGATGAGAATTTGACTAGGGTTGATATATACAAGCAAGTTGGGGGTTTTGCTGCGTTTACTTGGCATCACACGGTGAAGAACTTGAGTAGCCGCGTATTGAGCGTGAAGCTCGTGGGGGTGGTGGGTGCGCCTCTGATCTGTGGGATTGAGAATTACGCTCTGGTGCCTAGTGATCCTTCCACTGTTCCTGAACAAGGTGAGTGGGTAGATATATTTTTTTTTTCTGGAATTGAGGGGTTGAGAAGTATGATTTTGGTAATTTAAATTCTGTGTGATTTTGATTAATTTTGAATTCCGTATGATTTTGGAAATTTGATGCAACGAAGGAATCGGGTTTTGTTTTCTTGATCAGGAGAGGATTTTCTATTTCTGATAATTTTTTTCACGGATGCAAAATCGGAAACTTTGATGCCCGTATGGAAATTAACTTAGGATTCATCTATTCGTGTTTCGCTAATAATTTTGTTTGGGGAATTGATGTCATGAGGTGGTGTGTAATTGGAAATTTAGTTGGGGTGTTATTATTTACTAATTTTGTGTAAATATATGGTTACCGATTATTTGGGGGGTTGGTGTATGTGAAATTTTTTTTTTCATATATATTTTGAGTAATAATTTTGTGTGTCACTGAATTGATGTCATGGTTTTGTTGTGTTTTTGAAAATTTTATTACGGAGTTATGGTTTGTGAATTTCATGCAAAATATATACCGATTATTTTGGTGTTTTTTTTTTTTTTTGATGATGATTTTTATTTACAACAATGCGAAAGGAGGGACTTGTTCAAAATTTTGTTGACTGGAGAGCAACCACAAGAATTGTGGTTACTAAATGACCTCTTCCTTTTTTCTTTTTCTTTGATTGGGAGCAGTGGTTGCCATGAAAGCATTGAAAGATTCTCTTCGGGTACCTGAAAGAATGGGTTGGAATGGTGATCCTTGTGCTCCTACTAATTGGGATGCTTGGGAGGGAGTTACCTGCCGTATGAGTAAAGATAACACCGCTCTGGTGATAAGTCAAATGTATGCATTCCTTTCCATTTTCCAACTTTATTGAGCTTCAAATTGTTTTTTGGAAATAAAATTTTTGCTACGTAAACAAAAAGTCTTACTAAAAAAGTCTCCTAATAATTGATATTTATGCGTAAGATTAGTGGTGCTGTGCTGGGGTAGGTGTCACATGCTATAAGTATAGTGACTACAGAGGGTGGGAGTCTAAAGTGCTCATGATAGCTTGTGGCCATATCATTGTATCCGAAAGGCCTTTTACGATTCACCAAAAGAAAAAAAGAAAAAGAAATACAGGGTTCTTTTGTACAATTAAAAAAGTATTTCTCCCTCGTCTAAATTATTCTGGCAATTACCTTTTGAGCATATTAGTACTCCTTACCCTAAATAGCTTGGTAGGTAGGACATTATGGGTTCAACTCATGCTCTCTGAAACTATAAAATGAAAATTAAAATGGTGGTAGTTACAACTTGTTTTTTGTTCAGACAGTAGTTCTTCTCCAGTGATTTATGATTTATTTCCTCTCCTAAATTTTTGACTTTGTCCTTGTTTCAATTTTCATTTCAGTGATTTGGGAAGTCAAGGCTTGAAAGGGTTCATAAGTGACCAAATTAGTCTTTTGTCAGATTTGGTAAGCCTGTAAGTATCAGCAGCCAAACGTTTATATATGCTAGTCTTCTTTTACATCATGGGGTAGAATTGTTATGAGGTGTTCTGGTTGTCATGTTAAAACAGTAGCCATAGTTTCAAGTCCTTATTATGTTCTCATTATGTCTTGTTTCGCTTATATATCTGTTTCTTCTATTACAACCAAGTTTGTCAACCCAAGAATCTATGTAAACTTCCTGTTTATGGATATTAAAAAAACTCAACTCAAACAAAAATAATATTTTGTAAAAAATGAAAAGTTGTGTTCTTCTAGTTAGTATTCCAAATCAACAACACATTAGTCGTAATCTTCTCACCTTTAATGACTTACACACCAGTCACTCCTCCAGTCCTTCTAACATGAAATGAAAATAATTAATATCACCAAAAAAAAAAAAAAAAAGAACAGAACTGAAATTGAGATTAACCGGATCATCTGCATTATGGGAAACACAACAAACAGGATTATGCTTAAGCACTCATCATTCCACTAAAACAAGGACAGTATAATGTCAGATGGGAAAATACATAAAACACGTTAACACAACAGAATACTACAGAACATGAGCACAAACAATACTTAAACAACAGCACAACACATGGAAGCTGAGCAGAAATAGAACACATACAAAACTAGGTTATATTTGAAAATTGGACGCACAGAACAAAACAGAATTCAGGAAATGATTGGATTGTGCATTTGGGTTCATGAGTCATGACATCAATTTGCTCCTTTGTGAGCCACGACCAGGATTTCATGGATCACAATATGCAGAAAATGTTTCACTGTGTGGCTGGGTTCAGGAATGGGTTGCTTGTTTCATTAAAAAACTGCCGGAGTTTTATTGGGTGGCTTGCTGTGACATAATTTTGAGGGTTTCAATGTGTGTTTTCCTTGAAGCAGAAATGATGTGCCGAAGGGGGAAACTCAAACATGGTTTTAGGAAAATTAAGTGCAGAAATAAAATTTGATTCTCATAAGTCAATTTTTACTGGTTGACTTGGTGTTCAGCTGTTAGGAATGATTCAAACATAAATCTATAGGTGGAAAGGATAAAAATATAAGAGGTTGTGAGTTGGTTTTGTTATTCTTTTCTGTTATCTGATTTACTTTAATGCCTATACTTGAAAGAGATTTTAGGGAAGAAACAAAATCTCTGATTCAACTTTCTCTGTTCAAAAAATATAAGAGGATGCATTATATAGAACTCTACTATCCTAGAATTAATTACAGTGATTAATAATAACTCTTCGGATCCATACACTATCTTAATGGTGATAACTACAATATTTGATAATATCTCCTCATTATTCAACACCTATCAATAGGTCCTTTTCTGCAAGAAGAGTGAGTTTTTTGAATTTTAAGTTTGCTGGTCATATTCCAGGGTAAAAAGGAAAAAGCTCCTTTGGAGGTATACTCATATACCTTGGTGATAGGGTTTCGTGACTTTCTTTCAGCAATAAAGAAGCATATTCAGAATTTCTTTTCCTTGTCTGGGTGTTAATTTTTGTGCATGTTTAAGTAGTTTCAATGAATCCAGTGATTGCCAAGAAACAAGTTTGAGAGTGTGTGAACTCGATTTGGCTACCTAAAGTTGTAAACATGTAAAAACAACCATCGCTTTAACGATATGAATTACTATTCTTTTTCAAATATGATCAGCTTTGTACTTTCAACCAAACTTGTTTTCTTTGCATAGCTTCAGTGTTTATATTCCGATGACACATCAGGTTTATGCAGTAATGAGGAAGGGACATTATTCATAATTGTTGCTGTTCTTAGTAGCCAATAAATTCCTTCAATAGTTTTGTGCTTTCCATGTTGTACAAGCATCATCTCGGCCAGAATTTTGCATCTAGATGCTCATATGCTTTAGTGGATTCTAATCCATTAAGTTTATGCTTTCAGTATGTGTTTTCCTAGACAAATTTAGTCATGTTAATGTTGGTTTCTATCGTCAGGTAACATCTCTTAATTTTACAGGAATTTGAGTTCTAATTTGTTGGTGGGTAATATACCTTCAGGACTCGATCAAAAATCCCTGATACACCTGTAAGCTTTGGGTTTTTGTTTTCTTTAAGTTATGCAAAATATATTACAGAACTCAAATGATTGGAGTCCTTTGTTTGATTAGTTGTTGATAAGTTTCCAAGTTATATAACCACTTAAAATTCATATTTTGTAAAAGATGTTTCCTTCATTTAGTTTTGCAATTGTACTGAGTATTGAAGAGAAAACGTTTCAATATGCTTTTCTGGAAGGTATGAAATATCACGTTCAGAAACATCGCATGGAGCATTTATTCACTGATACCTAAATGCCATCAGTTTTATACTTTTAGTTACCAATTTAGTATCACTATTAAATACAATTTGATGGCATAAATTGAAATTGAATGAGCGATTTGTTGCATTATTCATTTAAATATGAAGGACGTAAAAGGATATGTACTGGAATATTATCATATATTTGGATATTATGTATTTTTCTTGCATAGGCACCTCATTCCAAGGTCTTACAAACATGTCGTTTTTAAAATTTTTTAAACATTTTTATTTTTTAAAATCTAAACACAAGAAAAAGTCCATTTGCATTTCCGTTATTTCTATAATATATAATATACAGTATGAAATAATAGGGAAAATCCATTTAATCATGTCTTTGCATATTAAATATTTTCTTTTCAGATTGATTCATATGATGTAAGAAGAAACTTTCAGTCATAGATTTTTCTTATTATTAATCAAGGAAAATAAATTCAATGTTAGTTTTATGGACAAATAAAAGAATATATTTGAATTGCTTATCTTGATTTGCAGAAAAAACATACTTTAGAGTTTTTTTAAAAGAAACAAAAATAGAACAAAGAAGATTTTTTGATAGAAATGTAAAATTGAAATTTATATAATATATGATTGTTCTAGTAAATAGAAAATAGAATGATTTTTTGTTGTTGTTATTTTCATTTCATTTCATAAACAAGATTCAAGAATCAAGTTATATGATGAAAGGAGAGAAACATGTTTGAGGATCTATAGGTAGGAGAGAAAAAAGGGATCATTTGTTTCTGAATAGGTTTTTGTGATAAGATAATGACCTAATTATGTCTCTAGTATCTCCAATTTGGAGTAAGTTTGTTTTTAGTCCCCTAAATTTAAAATTGTTTTTTAGTCCCTCTAAGGTAGCCTTTCTGTCCCAAATACTACTAAAACTTTTTCCTTGGAAGTATTCATTCCCACAATGTTTGGGTAAAAGCCGTTTAGACGGAGGACTAAAGTATGCTTTTTTCAAATTAAAGGAAAATATCAATTTTAAATTTGAAGGACCAAAACCAACATTTGCTCAAATGAGGGTCTTAGAGAAATCTATGGAATAGAAAGGAAAAGCCATATGGTAAATTCAGGAGCCAATTAATGGTGTACAATTTATTTTTTTAAAAGAATAATTTGTGGTGATATGAATCAGCCGTTGATCTATTTTAAAAACGCTCAATGTTTATTCATTTAATACATTACTTGTTTTCTTTGAAAAAATATTGTAGGGACTTGTCCAACAATCAGTTAACAGGCTCAATACCAGATAGTATAGCAGCTTCTTCAAGTCTGCAGCTCGCGTAAGTATCTACTGCATTGTATTTAGGATTTTCTCTTGCTAAAAGTCTCAAGAGCAAGTTTAGAGTTTGTCCAAAGGCAAACTCCCTCGGTTGAGTTGAAGAAGTTGGACAATAAGTATCTTTGAAAATTGAGAAGTCAAAGAAAAAATGTATTCTTTGCATCCAGTATCTAATGAAGATATAGGGATAAATATTGAAACTAATCTAAAATTGAAACATCCTGAATGTGCAAGACACAAATACTGTTTATCGTGAAATTGCAAGGTTGTTTTATGGTTTGGGTTTACTATTTCACCCGGAGAACTTACTCTTAAAAGGAATAATTGCCTTAAAGATAATTTATTGTTTAGATGTGAAGAGACAAGTAAATTTAGAGTTTGTAATTTTTTCTGATGAAAAGATCGATGTTGACTCTAAGAATAGAGGTATAATGGATGCAAAATCTTGCTGGCTAGTTCATGGTGCTCATGTGTCAACATTTCAAAAGGTTGCCCTTAAGCTACTTGGGCATATATAGCAGATTATGCATCCATAATACCACTATCCTTCAAGCGTCTAACATCATCAAAGACTTCCTTATCTTCCATAAAAAAAATTGCAAACTCCAAATTTACCTTTCTCCTTACATCTACATCAACAACGTATTTTTTTAAAGTACGTATTCCTCTCGAGAAAGTTTCACTAGTGAAATGTAAAAGAGTAAAACAAAGTCAAGAGTATGTCTGCCTTGCACATTGAAATAAGCTTCTAAATGATGTTTCTTTTTTGGATTAGCTCCAATGTTTATCTCTTTGCCTTCATTAGAGACTAGAGACAAAAGGATACCTTTTTTTCCTTCTCTATTTTGACTTCTATGATGTTTCATGTCTAACTTCTTGGACTTAACAAGTCTTGTGGGAGTTACCTTTGAACAAATTCAAACCTTTTTCCTGAGACTTTAATTGGTGAGCCTAAATTCTAGCGTCCATTGAAGGTTATGTAATCTTAAAATTCCCCCACCATGAACCTTTCTTACTTTTAAACATTTTCCATTGAGGTCTAGTTTCACCCTCTTATTCTGTTGCTTGCTTGATTAGTTCTGGTACTCATATCTACAATAAAAATAAAATAAATGGATACAGTTAGAAATAGGAGAATAAGAGCATATCCTTGAAGACAGAACATAAAAAAGGAGCATGTCTCTGATTGCTAAAATTATTATATATTTTTTCTACTGAAAATTTTGTTCTTTGTATAGGAGTGACATTATAGTAGTGTAAATGTTATTAAAATAATATTCACAAAATAATATGACATTTTGGTGAATAAATAGTAATGCATCATTTTCATGTTTAAAGTCATGCCATATAGTATCTTAGAGAATATAATTTAAAATGGTGAAACTATTGAAAAACCTTTATTGCGAAACAAACCAAAAAACATTGACAGAAACATTAACAACAAAAAGAAAAATGATGCCTTATGAGTCTGACAATCTGGTGTGAGGACTTGATGGAGTATGAACAGTGTGGTCTGATGTGACAGCTGTGTGCTGGGATGGCATGATGGTTGGACAGCGAATGGTGGTTGGTTCTATGGTGTTAATGGTCGTAGTCAGCATTATCTTGCATAGGGAAAACCAAAAGATGCAATGTGAAGTAGAAGGAAGACAACAAAATATCACGAGAAAAATTCAAAAGTTAAAAATATATTAATCCTAATCTTTGTCAATAAGTTAGATAATAATCTAATTATATGCAATAACCCTAGTTAGCCAATAATTATACTGTTCTTGCTCTGTTCATGTTATCTTATTCAATTAGTAGTAGATCTGGAACTACTGGATCAAAGTAGTAAAATATTGCATTTTTTTGTAATAATAAGTGTCAAGCATTGCATTAAATTGCATCTAATTATTAGTTGCTAAGAATGAAAAAGCTATTTTTTGTTTTAAAGTTCTTATTCATCAAGAAGCTACTATTTTTCTTCTCTGTTAAGTGGTTGGGCATTGTAGAAAAGAAAGGGTAGATAACACTTGAGCTCTTAATAAGATGTTCCTTCTACCCTACTGACAAGTTTCGCTTACATTGATTCATTTTTCTAATCCATTTTTTGTGTCACTGTCAGGCTTTTGAATGATAACTTATTGGAAGGACTAGTACCAGAACAACTTTATTCGATTGGTGTGCATGGTGGAGCTATAGAGTATATCATTTTAATCAAATATTTTTATTCTTTAATCTTCTGGATGAGTTCAGATTCAAATGATTCCATACTTCATTATCTATAAGAGTCTATCTGTGTGTGTACTTATTTAAAATAAACTGCTAGCAAAAAACCACATTCATCTAGGCTTATGATGTTATCTGTCAGCAACATTTAATATCAAAATCAGCTTCAATGACATATCTTTACATAAAAGTTCCCAGCTCTTCTGTATCTTTCCTTTGTTCTGCTTGTACAATCATTTCTTATGTAAGAATATCCGAATTGAGTTATTCATGTAAGCTGAAGTAAATTTGATTATTTATGAAATTCTCAACTTTACCTTTTTTTGTTGAATGGCTTTGTTTTACCAAATAGTGAAAAGAACATTATAAAGTTGATTTTTACATGGATGCCTCCTACTAAGATTTTTTCCTTTTGGGCAATTTGTCAAGTTAGTTTTTGCCTAAGTGCTGGGTTGTAATAGGTACTAAAGTAGTATATCACCAAAAGGATTGTGTACCAGTGTGTACTTATTAAAGTTGCTATTGAATTATAGTTTTATAACTCAATGGGAAAAAAATTTCTGACACCTTCAATTTGATTTGTTTTTCTCAGTCTCTCTGGAAACAAAGGTTTGTGTGGTGTACCATCTCTGCCAGCTTGTCCTATGTTTTGGGAAAATGGAAAATTATCTACTCAGGGTAAAATTGCAATAGGCTTGTCCTGTTCTTTTGTTTTCTGTGCGGTACTTCTGCTGGTCTATATTTACATCAGGAGGAGAAGGAATGACTATGATTTTGCTCTACCTCATGAATTGACTTGTAAGTATGATTTTATTTTGATTTCCTTCTGTTTGAAGCCAACTGATACAGTAGTTCTTCTCTTTTATGTTACATAATAGAACTTTTCTATTCAGTGACCAAAAGGTTTTTATTGCAATTGAGAATTTAATTGTTTTTCAAATGATGGCAGAATTAATTCATTGATGGTGAAAAGGTAAAACTCATATGGTCAACAATCAAATTAAATCTTAATGGGCCTAAAGAGGTCCAAATGAACGAAGATCAAGTGACTTGAGAATTTTATATGGTGGTAGAAGAATATTCAAATAATATTTATATTTCCATTCCCTAAAATAAGATTATGACACTTGTAGGGTCATAATTTAATTGTTGGTATATTGTAGGTTGTATAAGTGTATGCCTTCCTACCTATTATCATCAATTAAAATATTAATGCTTATTATTTAGATCTCTTTATGACAGCCATATACGGAAAAAATACAACTGAAAGTTGATCCTCTACGAATAGTCTTGTCATGCACATCTTTGATGGCCCAAATACTGTTGGGTTTTTGAAGGGTTATGTTTATATGTATTTCTGATATATCATGTGTGTATCATGTGTGTATTTCTATTCATGTACTCTATGTATATATAGAGTAAAAATATTACAAAATATTAAATATTCATAATATCTCAATCATAACAACCTAAATCGAATAATAACCTAATGTCTTTTTACCTTCTCTCTTAAAAGATAATAAAATCTCTTAATACCTAATTTAAATAAAAGATAATAAAGTAATATTTCCAACATTCCTCCTTACTTTAATATCTATTTATTTGAATTTGATATATTTTTTCCTCCTTTTTTGTTTATACTTCTTGTTATTTTCTTTCTTGTATGAGATCACATCTTCATTCTTCACTTTCTTCATCAACATATTTCTTCCTTTATCAACTTCATCTCCTTTGTTTCTTTCAAAATTCATGATAGTACTGTTGACTCTTTGATGCACGTTGAAAACGGTTTCTTCATCTACATCTTTATTTTCCTCCTTAACATCAAATTCCTTCAAGAAATCTTCTTCATGCTTTTTCTTTTTTTCTTTTATATCTTCATTTGTAATCCTCTCTTCTTTCATCAAATCTAAAGTGAAACTTTTTCCTTTCATGTGAACTTTGAATATTTCTAAGTTATTTGTATCTTTAATCACACAAAGTTTGTGTTCAAAAGACACCTTATAACTTTTCTCCAATAATTGAGCAACACTTAACAAATTATGATTTATATCAGGAACATATAAAACATCAATAATCAATTTGATACCCGAATGACTTTTAACTGCAATTGTTCCTGTACCTTTCACATTCATTTCTTCTCCATTACCAATTCTCACTTTAAAAATATGTGATTCGTTGAACTCTTTGAAAAATTTTCGATCATGAGTCATGTGGTTTGTACAACCACTGTCTATTAACCAACCTGTGGATTTGTTGATTGTAGAGCATGTTGATGCAAGGAGAAGTACCTCTTCTTCTCTATCCTCTATAACTTGAACGACTTCCTCTGGTTGTGATTTGCATATCTTTTCTATATGTCCCAATTGACCACATTTGTGACATTTCACATCGAGTCTCCACCAACACTTGTTGGGTGTGTGATTATTTTTCTTGCAATAAGGACAAACAGAAAATACTCGTGATTTTGTACCTTTGTTGTTCTTGGCTTGGACAGAACCTCCATCATGATATAATAAAGAACCTTCACTAGCGGCATGATCTCCTCTCATCAATCTTCGTTGCTCTTGTGCTTGTAAAGCATGTAACACTTCGCCAAAGTAATATTAGACAAATCTTTTGTGTTTTCCAATGAAACAATTGATGCTTCATATCTCTCCGCACGAGTTACCAGAATTTTTTCAACTATTCTAGAATCGAGAAAATTTTTTGCCTAACAATTTTATTTTGTTAGCAATACCTAACAATTTGTTTGAGTATTCATTAATTGTTCGAGACTCTTGCATCTTTTGTATCTCAAATTCCCTTATCAAGTTTAGAACTTTCATACCTCGAATTTTCTCATCTCCTTCATATTGATCTTTCAAATAATCCCAAATTTCTTTGGGTGACTTTAGCGTCATGATTCCGGTGAGGATCATTTGTGAAACACCGAAGCAAACAGACATGATTTAGCTTTTGCCTTTCTCATTTTTCTTCTCTCGTGAGATTTCATTTGAGCTATAGTGGGATTTTCGGGTAGTGGATCAACAATATAATCTTCTTCTACAGACTTCCCATACATCCAATCCTTCAAGATAGGATTGCATTCTCACAGCCCATAAGTCATAACTTTCGCCACCAAAAACTGGAATAGCGACTTGTGAAAAGTTTCTTTCTCCTTCCATTGTGTCAAACCAAAGCTCTGATACCAATTTGTTGGGTTTTTGAAGGGTTATGTTTATATGTATTTCTGATATATCATGTGTGTATCATGTGTGTATTTCTATTCATGTACTCTATGTATATATAGAGTAAAAATATTACAAAATATTAAATATTCATAATATCTCAATCATAACAGACCTAAATCAGAATAATAACCTAATGTCTTTTTACCTTCTCTCTTAAAAGATAATAAAATCTCTTAATACCTAATTTAAATAAAAGATAATAAAATAATATTTTCAACAAATACAAGCATTTTTCATATCCATATGGGCCCAAATTTAAACCACGCAAACTCCCTTCTCTCCCAGTGCCTTCCACAAGACTTCTTTTAAGATCCTATAACGATCCTTTTCAGAAAACCATGTTATCTTTTCATTTCATTCAGTATCTCATCATCAAACAGAGGTCTGCTCATGGGTCAGTTGTGTAGGGTTTGGCTAAGCGGAACATCCAATCCAATAAAAAGTGTACAGTTTGGGTTAGGTTTGTCAATCAGGTTTGAACATTCAAATTTATTATTTTTTTCTTTTTAAATTAAAATTGTTTTTCATCAAAAAAATTAAATATTGCCAACCCAGGCTTATATTTGTATCCCCAATGTTAGAGTATTAGAATATTAGAGATAGAATTTGTAATGATTTTTTCATTCTTTCTGTTTTTCTGTTTGTTAGAGTTTGTTAACACCCAATAATGATTACAAATTCAATTTCTAATATTCTAATACTAACACCCAATAATGAAATTAACTATTGTCAAGCCTACGCTAATCCTAACAAATATCATATATACACAATAACTGTTAATAAATTTTTGATAGGTTAAGAAAACATGTTTACACAGCATGTCAATAAATGTGAGCAACAAGAATACAAATATCTTCCTATAAATAATTGTTATATAATCTCATATATATATATATATATAATATATGTTTTAATTTAATAATAATATCAATAATAAAATCATAATGTCACGCTATCAGGTTTGCGTTTAGTTCAAAAATCAAGATTATGTACATGAAAGAGCTGGACTCAGTTTGATCCAAACATTCGAAATATATAGTTCAAAGTGATTAGCTGGTTTGAGGGAATTTGAGTTCGTGAGTTACCTGTACTTGCTAACACCCTATCATCAAACTTAGCGTAGTAAATGACTTTCATACGTGACCTCCCTACAATGAACCAAATTTGGGATACGAGAATGACCATTGAAAATAATCAAGATTGCTCACATTAATAATCGATTTGTCGCTAAATCCATTTCAAATCTAGCCCCCACACCATTTTACACGGTCTTCTATTTATCTATTTTATATTTGGTATTTTGCTGTTTTCGTAAAGCATCATATTGTCTCTGTCCTCTCCCTGCCTATTAATGAATGTCCTTCATCTGAAAGATGTCTTTCCTGCCAACACTGTCCGTATATTATTCTTGGTGCATGTTATACGTGTACCCTGACATTTTTGCCTGTCTACATTCATCTATTACTATGTGCTTTCTCATGTCTTTATTGCAATATTTTGGCTCTGTACTAAGCCGTGTATAGCCCATATAAATTATATTCCAGACTTTCTATTTTACCATTGAGGAAAGTTTTTCTTAGTGGTAACTTCAAATGATTCTTGTAGATTTGTTATCAACTTTTTGAAGAGGAACCGTTCTGAATATTTTGATATATGATTTCCATTTTAAATTTAATACTAAATACTAAAACGTATTTCTCTTTTGTATTTTGACTGCATTAAGAATGGTGTTTAGTCTCTGGATAAATCGGCAATTAGGCTATAGTATCTTCATACAAAAACATGCACATATTCCGCGTACATGGATATCACTTCTTGGCAACAAGTTGGACGTCTTTGCTAGGATCTTCTGTTCTTTAGTTTTTTTACTTCTTTGCCCATATGTTCTGTCTTCAACTGAGTTTGTTCCATTTGGTCATTGATACTGACAATGCTTTGCTTTATATCTCATGTTAGAGTGAATAATCTATTTAAGTAGAAGGGATATTTAAGTCCATCTTTTTGCGGTGGCCTTATGGATATCTCAATTTTCATGTGTCTATGACTCTATTGTCACTTATATTTGGAAATTTTTATTTAAATAACCTTTATCATTAATTTCATTAACAATGATGAAAGGGATATCTATATTTTAGACAATAATTACTTAAATAGGAGAGACATAAACATTTAGGAGTGGTAATAGACGGATCCTGTCATTAAATCCAAAATTTTTCAGTGAAGAACCGTTTAACTTCCTTAAAATAACTAGAAATATGTGTTAGAATGATCTCGGATATATTTGATGCATAAATCCTCTGTTGACTGTTGACGCTATTTTGTGGTTTCTCATGTAGCATTGGCGGCCAAGAGAAACCGATATCAGAGGCAGAAATCCTTGATGGTTCTTGAGATGGAGAGTCAACACGCCAAGGGACTACCTTCACATTTTACCACACAATAGCATTTATCTTAATGGAAATGGAATATCGATTGTAACAGTTTTAGGCCAAACATACAAGGACACAGCTTCAGACAGGTTTGAATATGTTGCAGCATCAACAATGCCTTGCCGTGATGTAAACAACACTGCGGCTTCAGGAAAGGAATGACTTTTCTCGTACAACTTTCTTTGTCTCGTCAAGGTTTCTGGAAGCCACTTATTGTACCATGCATGCTCCATCTGTGTCACATTGTTTCTTGACCCATGAAAAAAAAGCACATACCCTCTGATGTCAATACTTAGCCACAGCTTTTACTGAATATATGATAGGTACAGCCCATTAATGTATGAAATTTGAGCCACAAGTTAGCGTCCATTTTTTCTTGGCATACAGATTCTGGTTGACTACTGTATTCCAATTTATGTAGCAAAAGACAAGTGATTGGATTTTATTGTACATTGTATTTCAAAGATTTTAATTCGATATATATACCCCAAGAACTCCTTATTTGCTCGCTCTAATGCTTTCTATTTTTTGTTCAACATTCTGAAGTATAATTCTAGAAGCTTCTGGGAATCTCCCTCTTCAGTCTCAGAGGTCTATAATTTAAGGATGCGTTGTTGTTCGGACAACCCGGCACTTAGATTGTATATAAATTTCGATATTAAAGAAGGAAATAGTGAAAAAAAAAAAGTAGATAAGAAATGAAAATATAAAAAAAGAGAAGTAAGAAATAGAATGGAAATATATGTTAATACAAGAGAAAAATAAGTGTTTAATTTTTAGAATATTTGTTTTTTTTTAATGGAAATAAATGTTATTATTTTTATAACTACTAATATATTTTTGTTATTATTATTATTATTATTATTATTATTATTATTATTATTATTATTATTATTATTATTATTATTATTATTACAATTAAAGTTTATTGGTAATATGCAAAATGAACTTCTAATCTTGGGCAATTCAAATATTTTATTATCTGTAAATATATTTTACATTAATCTTTGATATATTATTAACATAATTATTTTTTTAGAATTTCGAATGAAATTTAATGTATATAAAGTTGGATGAATTTTAATCCTTATGATTAAGTTATCATCTAAGTTTGGTTTCGCATCTATTTCTTGATAACAATATGTGTTCCTCCTTTTTTTTTAGTGACCACCATATTCAACATGCTTTTAAGACCACATTACACATGTTTTGAAGTGAAATTAGGTGGGTGGTTTGAAAATTTGCATTAATTGCAAAGGAAAACCATATCTATTTGTATTCCTAAGATTGCAATTTTCTCTTGAATGTTGCATATGACCCATTGATTTACAACTACCTCATTAGTATCGGATTTCAATTTATACTCAATTAGAGATATCTGAAATGGCCTAATAAATATTAAAGTTGTATCAAGAAAATTGAGATATGTTGAACTCTTCTCAATATTCTTTCAATTAAGACGCCTATTCCATAATTAAGAAGGCTCTCATAAATATATATTATAATATATAGAAGAAAATTTTGATATCATTTCAGTTTAGAAATAATTGGTAATAAGAGAAGGGTACAAAATATATATGTGTCATATTTGGATAATTAAAGGATGTGAAACTCTTCCTCAACATCTATATTATTAAGAAGATGTCTATAAATTATATTATTTCGACTTAAAATCCATTAGTAACCCAATAAATACTCAACGTAGAATTAATGCAAAGTATATACATAAATTGGCTATTCCAATAAAAGATGATTAGAAAAACTTTGGTACAGTATCATATTTCATTTTATAATCAATTGGCTAAAATAATTCAATATATACATAAAATATACTGAGAGAACCGAGAAAGGTTGTAGGTAGATGAGTTTCATAGTGAGATGTTTTACGTTTTATTTCAATATGACAACATTCTTTTGTTATGAGCAGCCTTATACGAAGTTTTTATGTTAAAATATCATCGTGTCCCTGGATACTCTCATGGTTGTGTGGGTTTTATGATTTTTCTTGATTTAAGTTAGGTACTTATTTAATCATAAATAAAACTTAAAACACTTTTATTTGAAACTGAAGGGTAAATTGATAAATTCTTGTCCTTGTGCAATTGGAAATTTTTTTATGAGTGCGGCTTACAAAGAAGTGAAATTTCTAGGGTTTTTAGAAAGAAAAATAAAAGTGGAATGTATAGAGTGCAAAAAGAAAAGAATATATTATGTATAAGCTAAATATATATATATATATATATATATATATATATATATATATTTCTCTAATGAAAATAAAAAATAAAAATTATCTATTTTTACTGTACAAATAAAAAATAAAAATTATATATATGTTCAACTTGTAATCCTTTTAAAGGTGAAATTTTAATAAAAACATATGATCAGTGACACCTATATCCAGAAGTTACTAAAGAGATGTTTTACTTGAAAAAACAAAAGGAGTTTTAGGAAGAGTAGAAGAAGAATTAATCGAAAGAATGAATGTCAAATTTGTATTATTTTTATTTATGACATGATTCTTTTCTCTACGTTATACGGGTTATATATATATATATATATATATATATATATATATATATATATATATATATATATATATATATATATACCGTGTTTGTACTCCTTTTTAGGGTAATAAATTCTTAATAACAACAAATGAATTCTATCGTACGTATATGAACACTAAGATTTAGGCGCTGACCGTGAGATCTCGTGAAGGTTAGAGATGTTGGTAGTAATAGGGTTAGATGGAATATCACCACAACATTATTGGCCATATGATTTTGATATCCTGGTGGAAAACCATGTTTGTGCAGAATTTATTATCATGGGAACTTCTTCCTCCATTATTTCTATCACAACCCCTCGGAAAGGAATTACCTCTATCTCGTCCTCTATATAAAGTATTCAAGTTAGAAACATCAACATTCTTGAACTGTAAATTTGGAGTAGTAGTAGTAGTTAGGACTTGTGAATCAAGAACTAAGAACAAGTTCTTGTTGAATAATCATGTTAAAGACTTTGGTAATATCGGAAAGAGAGAATCGATTAACATAATATGAGATCGTAAGGAGACATACTGATCATTGAGGTCTTTCAGAAATCGAATGACATAATCTTGCTGCTTGTACCTTGGTGTAATTTATATAAATATTCTTGTAAATTTGCAATACGAAAAATATCTATTTGATGAAAACGATGATACAGATCTTGTCAAAGAAGTATGTTTGACCAAATAATGGATTTAAGAATTTTTTCATGTACCGATCGTTGGATCCAAGAAATAACCATTATTGCAAAGATGATCCCCCAAGGTTCGTGAAGAAGGTTGGTTGATGGTGGTTCGAAGAAAGTGTAATCGACGAATTTCAGCTTATTCTTGAATTTGAGCGTAAGTTTCATGGTGTGAGCCTAGACGTGATAATTCTTGTCATCCAACAAGGTGGAGACAAGAACAAGAATATGGTTTTGATTGAAAGGAAGAAAGAAGAAATTTGAAGGATTAGTGTGAAATTTAGTATACATAAGAATAGATAAAGAAATCAATAAATAACATTTGATATCATTTTATTGTTGGTACTATGAAATTCATTTGTTTTTATTAAAATTTTACATACTAAAAAATAGTACAAACATGATATATATAACCTCGTAGAACATAATGAAAATAATATGTCATAATTAAAAATAATACAAATGAAAAAAATAGGATTTGTTACTAAAAATAATTATGCTAATATTTATATAAAAGTTGAAAAAAAATGAAATATATATATATAAAAGATATTATCTTATAAAATTAATAAATTTAATTTTTTATTTATTATTTTAATTTATATATATAGATTAATTTTTATTTATATATTTTGATAAGTACCGTAAATATAAAAATTAAATAAATAGTTTCATATATTTTATATTTTCTAATGATATATTATTTTAACAATATAAACTTAAATATTAAAAAATATACTTTTATAATAAAAATAGTTTACAATTATATATATAAAAAAATCTTATTTAAAAATGTTAAATTCATTTATAAAATAATCAATTAATAATAAGAAGAATAAATTTATTATTAAATAATTATTTAATTTTAATTTATTTATTATTTTTTTAAAAATGTATTTTTTCACCTTTTTGTTGAAGAAATAAGTATATTTTTTACATTATTTAATCTCTTTATTTTTTTTAATTTTTTTTGCTATTATGGAACATTATGACTATTTGAGGATGCTATATTAAATTGTAACATATATCCAATGAACTTCTTCTACAAATTAACCTTGATAAACACTTATAATTAAATTTAAGTGAGATGAAGCAATAGCCATGAAGCCATTGTCATGAAACTTTTTTTCTTTATCTTTTCCTCAACTTGCCCCATGCAACGTGGGTGAACAAATTTTATTGGATTATTGATTAGAAATTGACAACCAACGTGGGAACAGCATTTTCATCACTTTACACAAGCCGTATGCTTCCAGAAATCAACCAACAATGCACATTACACACTAACCACTCATCATTGTTTTTAAATATTTGTTGCTATTGAAACTAAGTCACTCATCACAAGATTCTATCTCAATAAACTTTTTTTCTTATCACTACAATAATTAATATTCTACAATCTTTCATTATGTCTTTTCTCACCATCAAAATAGTGTTTATAATAATAATAATAATAATAATTACACATCACTCTTTTCAAATCCTCTAACATGTGATAAACCTTAAATCCATAATTTCTAATTTCACAAATAATGTGAAATATCAATAAAATTTAAACTATAAATACTTTTTTTAATCAAGTTTTATAAAACTCTTAAATTCCTGAATTTTGAATATCCTACCTTCACACAATTTGCAGAGTTAAACGAGTAATTAATATTTCACAATCAAGTATATAATACTCTTTGCTATATGGTCCTTAAATAATTACATAGTATTGTATTTACGTGAGAATGATGAATTTCAAGATTTTAGTTAGGTTTTTCTATACTATGTA